AAACAGATTCAATGAACTGCGATTTGATCATAATGTCAAAAAGTTTTGATTTTTTAAATAAATAATACAGAATTCAATGAATTAATTATAATTCTAATATAGAAAAACTTTATAAGATATCTGAAATATTCAATAAAATCTTTTATAAAATTATATTCAATCAAGACAGCATTGACAATGTTAATATAAAAGATAATCAAATAATTAAAAATGTTTTTAATTATAATCAAGCAGAAAACAAAATTTTTGATTTAAAAAATGATATTACAATTGATCAATATGTCATTCAATTGATACAAAAAATTTAAAAAAAATAATAAATGAATTAATTGATTCAAAAAATTGTAGCCGCGACGAATGGTTGATGAAAACGATGGATTGAATTAGTAGTAAGTAAGATGATTGACGAAGCTAAAGGGGTTGCCAAGCCGGCCACTATGAAGTGGGCGGCTGCTAGGGGAAACCATACCGACCTGAATCGCAATAGGGGAAACGACACGAACCACCTGTGCAACACGCCGATCACCGAGCTTGACGAGCTTCATGGAAGGCGGATGCAACAGGATGGTAGGTCTTCAAGCGCGACGTCCTTGTGAGCTAGATACAATGATAAAGACATCGTAAACGAGATGACGATGCTTGGCAGGATCCATGACGATGAAAACAGATAAGAAGCGAGATGAAATGAGATGAAATAAGATGAAACGACATAAGAAACCGTGCAGATTGATCATGCAGAATGACGACTCGATGACAAGGAAAACACGAGAGAATTGCGAGAAAGAAAAAGAGATAGATTAGTTAAGCGACGCCTCGTATTCAGCGATGAGATCAGGAGCGTCAAGATCATTTGCATGAATCCATTTGCCTTCCTCGACAGAGTAGCCACGCCATATGACAAAATACTGCGTGTAGGGGGTTCGATTGCGTCCGATGCGAACGACGCGCCGATCGATAATGCGCTCGACCTCGTAGCGGTCCTCTTCGACAGAAGCATCATCGTTTTCCACTTGGACAGGACCGGGTCGTTCATGCTGGCGTCCGAAGGGGTCAACACCTGGTCGTGCGGGCTCGAGCTGAGCGATAGAAAGCACGGGGTGAATACGGAACGTCCGAGGCAACTGCAAGCGATATGCGAGATGACCAACTCGTTCAATGACTTTGAACGGACCAGCATATTGCTGCGAGAAGCGACGGCTAAGATGTCTCGTCGCAGGGATCGTGTAGCCTCGATGCAAACGAATGTAAACCTCGTCACCATGATCGAGATCGGGAAACGGAGTGTGGCGTTGGTCGTATTGACGTTTCATTCTGATTTCGGCAAACCGGAGGGCTTTTTCGGTATCGTGTCTCCACGAGAAGTCTTGCCGAACGAAAGAACGAAGGAGGTTCCATGGTTTTCGCAGGTCGATACCGAACAGGGCCTTATGCGGAGAGATACCAGTAGCAGCATTAAGAGACCCATTCATGGTGCTTACAATGGACGATATGAATGAAGACCATTGCTCGTTCATGTTGGGATTGGCTGTTAAGTGGTGCTGCAACATGACTTTGACGGTACGGATCATGCGTTTCGACTGACCATCAGTCTGAGAGTGATAGGCAGTGGAATAAAATCATTTAGCTCCCATGCGAGAGAACATGCCATTCCAGAACTGAAAGATAAAGAGCCGGTCGTGATCAGTGATGAACTGTCTAGGGAATCCCCAGTTGTGAGAACGTAGGTAGTCGACAGTGGCAACGCCCCACTGCTTAGCATTCCAGCAGGCACGTCCCGGGATCATACCGATCCGTTTGGTAAACTTGTCGACGGGCACAAGGCACTTGTCGTTGCCGTTGGCATCAACAGGCAGCTCGACAATGAAGTCCATGGTTATAGTGAAGAACGGCTCGGGAACGACACCGATCGGTTGAAGGTCGTCATAAGGTAGATGACTTCGGGGTTTATCAACCAGACATGTCGGGCAACGGGATATATACTCGCCTAGAAGGGCTCTGCCGCGGTGGATGCAAAGACCGTCTAGAGCTGGCAGGCACTTATCGATCCCGTCGTGGTTGTCTTGATCGTGGACCATCTTAAAGAGGTCAGGAACCAAGAATCGTGGGATGTAGGGTTGGTATTCTTCGACGATTTCATCGATACCATCCTCGTTTCTAGCGACATGACGTTTGACCATATGGATCATGTTGTCCTGCATGACAAACGGGGGATTTCGAGTGACAGGCTGATTTCTAATGGCAGTAAGAATCTCAACTGCCCGAGGGTCGTCCTGGTAAGCGGCTCGTATGCGGGTTTTGAGCTTGTCAGATAGTTCAATCGTGGACGCGAAAGCGTAGACAAGGGGCTCGGAATCCTCAATCGGGGGGACGTTGGTAGCGACACCAACGTCGATCGCGTCAAGATCCATTTCGGATCTGTCCTTCGCGGAGTTATTCGATCGTGAAACAAGAAGTCGCGACAAGGCGTCGGCAGCGACGTTCTCCTTTCCGGATCGATGGAAGATAGACAGCCGGAATTGTTGGATGTAAAGAAAGGCACGAACGAGTTGTAAGTTCGCTCGTTCTGATGAGACCGTATGCATGCTGGTCTGGCTAGCGATTCCCACGGTAGACGAATGATCGGTATAAATCACAGGAATCAGCTTGTTAGAGCTCGCTTCTATGAGATGACGAATTTTGCGCAACGTTCATACGAGGCAGGAAACTTCGAGTTCTGTTGGCCAGTAGTTGCATTCAGCAGCCGTAAGGGTTCTGCTCAAAAAGAAGATCGGCTTGATATTTCGTCTTGGAGGGGGTTTCGAGAGGTCTCTAGGGGCATCTTGCGACTCGGACTCGGGTTCCTTCGCATGATAGACGACGACACCATGTCCTTCGCGAGAGGCGTCAAGGTCCACGTAGAGTTGTCTTTCAGGATCGTAATGACAGAGGAACAAGGGGTCCTGAAAACGTGCTTGCAATCGTTGAAAAGCAGAACACTCCGAATCGATAGGGTCGTTCAGTGCCTTATGAGACCACGTGTTGCGTTCGTGACCCGATTTAGGACTGCCTTTGAGCATGTTCGTTTTTCGAGTTTGGAGGGGCTCAACGATCGAGGCATATTTCGCAATGTAGTGACGAAAATATCCAGTAAGTCCTAAGTAATGCTCAAGGCCGGTCAAGGTCTTTGGAAACGACAAGTTGCGTATGGCTGCGATCTTTTCGTCCGGGGTCGACAGGCCTAGTGAATCCACTCGTTGTCCAAGTAGAATCATGGACGGGAATCCTAGAAACGCCTTCTTTGGTTCCAGCTTGATATTTATGGATTCAAGTCGCTCAAAGAGCTGAGACAGATGGTCAACGTGATTGTCAAGAGTTTTGCTAGCGCTGACGATGTTGTCGATGTAAGCACGACAGAACGGGAGGTCCTTGAGACTAACGTCCATGATCCGTTGAACGTAGGGGACCGAGTTGACGAATCTCATGATAGCCATTTGGAACACTTCCTGGTCTCGGTGTGAAACCACTGTCAAACGACCTCTATGTTCTCGCTTGATTGGCCATTGGTAGAAGAACTTGCATGCGTCGACAACAGAAATATAGCGACAACCGCGGACAAGAGCAATGATTTCGTCTTGCGAGGGGACGGGGTAAAGGTCAGGCTCCGTTTCCTTGTTGGCGGCGCGGAGATCGACCACGGCACGTCCTTTTCGAACGAATTGCTTGCCGTCCCATACTAGTTTCCATACGACGAAAACGGGGTAGTCAGTCGGCGTGTGAGAAATGGCTTGGACGAGCTTTTCTTGGCGGACAAGAGAATCAAACGTGGCGTTTATCACTTCGCGGTTCTTAAGGCTCAGTCGGTAAACCTTGCTGCGTGGCAAACGTTTCTGCCAACCCTCTCTCATAGGGACTTGCAACCATTGGTCTTCCGGGATGTTCACAGTGCTAAGCGCGTTGTTAGGGGATGCCCATATGTCATATCGTTTGACGACTTTACGAATGCGATCGACAACCGTAAGGTCTCCGTCATGGTAAACGGTCACTCCATTCGGCAGAACGGTCTGCTTAGAAGTTAATTTGGAGTCGGAATCGGCTTCATTGCCCAGCAAATACGCACGTGCGAGGGCTCTCTCAACGGTTCGCCGATACGCGAAACCGGAGATACGTTTCTCGTTCCTTCTAATCGCTTTAGCAGCGAGACGACGGTAACGACGTCCAGGGGACGGTTTTGCATGTATTTCAATATATTTCACATGCTTGAAATCTTCCATACCGGACCAGTCCGATTCATGAGCAGACGGCTCGGAAGGAGTATGATATGTCGTTGCGAAATCCACATCGGACACAGTACCGATTCTTGCATGACGTTGAATAATAATCGGTTCAATCGTGTCATTTCTGATTTCCACGAATGACAGGTCTTCGTCAACTAAATGCGAGCAGACATACATTGATACAGTAGCGCCGGCGGGCTCGAACAGATAGTCCTTGTCGAGTGGAAGGGCCTTCTTGATACGCATGGAGATCTTGTCTGCAGATCTCGCCGGTACGATAACGCGTCGTGTTGAATAAACGGGCGCCTCAGGGACTCGCTCGCGTTTAGCGTCCACGAGGATGGGGAAGGTGAAACCGCTGGTTTGAATGGTTGCCACACGCCTCGCGAAGTCGAAGCTAACTCCGTTAAAAACCAATATGTCAGTGCCGATCAACATGTTGGATCGGAGTTCAGGAACGATGTGAGCGATCACTGAAAGTTTTCCGAAACTCGTGATTTCGCCTCCATAGGAGTTTGAAAAGAAGATGTCAAATATGGCGGCGCGAGTCGATTTGTAAGAAGATTTGCCAATATCTCGCACAGTAATCGGAGGATGGACATCTTGTAGACGAATGGCATTTTTAGGAATCAAATTGACGAAAGTTTCGTCTATGATAGTCGATGAGCAGCCGATGTCGAAACAGATTTTCTTGAGGTTCAATTCTGCAGACAACCGATCCAGCGCGACGTGAGCAGTAATACATCTTTAGAAGTGAATATTCGCGACACGACGGTCCGCATCCAGGTCAGACACGACATTGGACTCGTAAACTCGCATTTTATTCGGTACATTGGTTTCATCTGCAACGGCTCGGCATTCGCCAATGTGGTTATGAAGCGCATTGTTCGAGATAAAGGGCTCGTGACAGTAATGACAGCTGGTCATTACCTCAAGAGGTTCGTATTCGGGGCAACTGAACGATTCCTTCACACGATTGTTAGCCACTTCCGTCATGTAGGCGTCATAAGGACCGTAATAGTCGTCATCGGGTTCAGGAACGTACTCCGACTGATCGCCGTACTCGTCAGCACCGAAATCCACCGCCATGGCGTCGTAGTGAGGTGCATAGTCGTCATAAAAGTTAGACGGCTGGTCGCCGTGGTCGCCGAACGACTCGTATGGAGCAGACTGATATGACTATATAGTTGGCGACGGGTTTGGAGGCTGAGACATGTTCGGAGGATTGTTAGCAATTTGCAGAATATTCGCGTCTGCGTTGAGATCAACTTCGTAGGCTTTAATATACGGCTTTCCGTTGTTGTTGCTATTGCCATTCCAAGGACGTCCGAAGTTCTTGGTATCTGGTAGATACCGAGGTCCGTTGAAAGGTCGATTCACTTGGTCTTGATCTTGCTGATTCGGATTCGACTGATTCGGCGGGAAGGGAGGAGTCTGTATCCAGAGTGATCGATACTGAAAATCGGTTCGGGGGTCATTCCGATTGTATGGTTGGTTCCCATACTGTTCGTATTGACGCTGCGGAAACGGGTTCGACGAGGGGCTTTGGTTCGATCTGAATCGGGGGTCAGCATAAGGGGCTTGATAAGGGCCGTTTCCAGCGGGTCTCTGGTTGTTCGGGCGGTAATCATTCCGATAATCTTGAGAACCATTCGGGGAATACGTGGGACCAGGGGGATCAGTAGATTGGGATTGAAACTGACGATTGTCATGAGGCCTTTTGTCGAATCGCTTGTCACGATTTTCACGATGTCGGCGGTAGTTATGATGAAGATTCTCTTAGAGAAATTGCTTCTCTTCTAATTGTTCAAGAAACTCGGAACGAGTAGTCGTTGACTTCGGAATCGGGATGTGTTGCTGAAGCTAGGCATCAAGGCCGTTCCACATATAATTAATTTGTTGAAATTCGTCTTCGACGCGGGCGTTTCGACACAGTCGAATGACTTCTTCCGCGTAAACTTATGGCGAACGCCTCGCAGTCACGTCGGCATACGTGTATCGGAGATTTTTGAGTTGCTCAAGGGCCAATTGCGGGTTTGTCTTGAAACGATCTTTTAGAGCAGGGTACCAATCGTCTTCCAAGGGAAGATCGCGAAGACGGCGTTTGCGATCATCTGACATAGACGTAAACCAAGTCATTGTTGAGCCACGTAGGCAAGCTTGGATGTTGGCCTTAACAAGCTCAACGCCTTTGTAGTCTATTACATCGGCTAGTCGATCGATGAAAATGAGAACGTCTCGATAAACGATACTACCGGAGTGAATGTCCTTGTCTTCAGCATCGGGCCAAAAACTGCCGATTTCTTCGTTTCGCAAGGCTCCATGGCCGTTGTTGGTCCCGGCAGGTCCTTGGGGTCCCTGAGGGCCTTGCGGACCTTGGTCGCCAGGGGGTCCTGGTGGTCCTTGCGGACCTTGGTCGCCAGGGGGTCCTGGTGGTCCTTGCGGGGGCTGAGCTCCTTGCGACGACTCGATGTGACGGAGGCGGTTGCTTAGACTTTCTTGCGCCTTTTGCATTGCCTTTTGACCTTGCAGGATCTGCTTGAGAGCGGCCTGTATTTCTGACATGGCATGATCGTTCGAGGGTCCGGGGGCACCGGTTTCGATAGCGGAGTCGGCCATAGCGTCAAGGTGTCGATATCGTTGACGAACGCCTTGAATCGGTTCGTTTTGAATCGGCTCGGGTGAGACGATTGGCTTCGATTCAGGCTGATCGGAGTCGACTCGAGGAAAATCGGGGGTCATGTCGTAGAGACTATCGAAAGAGGATTCAATGGACTTCGCACGGATATTCTTTTTTCCGCGAAAGGTCTCAGACTCCCGGTCCTCGTTGGATTTCTTTACAGACTGTACGACAAACGAGGTGTCGGCAGGTTCGGGGATCTCGAAGGAAGGTGAAACGAGCGGACTTGTAAAGATAGATACAGGAGGGGCTTCAGGGGTGTTATCGGTGTTAAGGAGAGGATTTGCGGCCGTGTCGAGGGGTTTGCCAACGGCTTTGTCGAATAGATGTCGAATTGCTCGGAACGGGTTGCCGACAAGATCTTTAACGTGAGACGATCGGACCGCAGTAGACAGTTCGATAGGATTCAAAAAAGCGCCTACGGGCCGGGGGGTCAACGGATCGGTGAGAGATTCAACTGCAAGAGGCTCGACAAGCGGTTCCTATTCGGATGAGGAACTTGTCACTGACGCAGATCGGGATCGGGCGACGTCGATGGGAGCAGACAGATTTTCACGATCAAGGGGATTCTCAAGACACCAGTCGATGAATTGCTGGTTTTGATCGAGGTGACGAGTGATCCTGACAAACTCCTTTGCGGCTCGACGAAGATTTGTTCGGTCGATCAACCAGTCCACGTGAAACGGGGTGTCACGTCGAACGGAAGGGGGTTTTGGGTAAGTGATAGAGATGAATCGGGCTCGCTGGACGAGGCTGTTGGAGAGCTCGCTGGACCAGAAGCACTCGGCACGTTCATGGAAACCCTTCAACTGATGACTAAGTTCAGCGAAACGTGATGTCATTGGTCAAGGCGGAGGATAGAGGCAGAAAACGAGTGTCAAGTCCGTAAGGCAACAAGACAGGCAACGGGGCAGGCAACGAGGCAGACAATGGATGATCACGGGATAGATGATCACGAGATCGATGACGTGATCAGAAACCGAATGTCAAGGCCGAGGTCACGGGATCGAGGGGGTCGATGATGTTATCAGGCCCTCAAGCGAATCAGACAGCAAGGCAGAAACCCACACAGCGCGTGACGTAATCGGGATCGCTAAGCGAATCAGGCAACAAGGCAGAAACGCACACAACACGCGACAGTCGGTCGCGTCAATGTCGGAATCCTCGAATCGCTCGAGAGGCCGTTTTTCAACGAAATGATTCAGAAAATGAACGGGAATGACAGAGAATGTTCAGAATGATGATTGTAAGACACAGGTCAAGGAGAGAGATGAAAAACGATGATTGGAGGGAGTTGTCGATGATCAATGTGGTGGAGCAAGGGGCGGCGGGTTCCCGCGGTCGGACAGATGTAAGACAGACAGACAGAACAACGCAAGACAACGCACAGAAATGACAGGAAACTGCTTGAAAATCTCAGAGCAAGGAAATCAAGCCGGTAGAACCCAGATCTTGAACGGACATGCTACCAAACTGTAGCCGCGACGAATGGTTGATGAAAACGATGGATTGAATTAGTAGTAAGTAAGATGATTGACGAAGCTAAAGGGGTTGCCAAGCCGGCCACTATGAAGTGGGCGGCTGCTAGGGGAAACCATACCGACCTGAATCGCAATAGGGGAAACGACACGAACCACCTGTGCAACACGCCGATCACCGAGCTTGACGAGCTTCATGGAAGGCGGATGCAACAAAAATGGAAAGAAATCCAATATGATTTATTAGAAAATTGCGAAGTATTTTTGTGCAATATTTGTATTAGAAATTAGATTGTTAAGATCCATGAACAAAGAATTAGAAAATGCATTATTTAAAATATGTAAATCATAAAATTAAATGCAAAACATGCAATTGATAAAATCATAATTATAATTAAATTATCATTGTAAGAAATAATATTATTAAACATATCAGATCATTACACAAATATTAAAGAAACAATTGCGAATGTTTATATTGAAAAACACATTTAAAATATTATGTTTTATAAATTATATGTCATAACGAAGACTGTGATTATTTAATATATGAAATATTAAAAATAATCGTTCAAAAATATTAAGGTTTAAAAAAACAACAATATTCTTACAAAAAGTCAGAATGCATTTATATTAAATATTTAATTTATTTAAAACACAGCACACAACATTAAAAAAAATATTATAAAAATTATTGTTTAATGCATTATAATGCTAAATTAAAATAATATTTTTTATAACAGTTATAAAGATTATGAGAATCTCATTGAATAACAAATTTATTAATAACAATCCAAAAAAGATTATATTTGAAATTGATAATCAAGATTTTGAATCAAAATATTTGAATTATGATGGATTCTGGAATAATAAACAACTTGATAGATTCAAGATTTTAAAAAAGATTGAAGATTTTAGAAATCATAAAGACGAAATTAGAATTTATTTTAGAATTGAACAACAAATTATTAAAAAAAAGTTTTATAGTCAAATCGAGATCGATATCTATAATTGTAAAAAATTATTTTAAATATATAAATTTCAATGTGACATCTTTAAGACAATATGATATAATATTAAGAATTTTATGATTTGAGAATCACAATTTAAAAATTAATTGAAAAACAAAGAATTTTCAGTTCACATGATGTGAATATCCATAACAGAACCAGATGTGAAAAACATTTGAAATTAAATAACACATTTAAAATAACAATTGCTGAACTGATATTAAAAAATTACAAAATAAATTTATAAACATGTTAATTAACAATAATAAATATAATATTGCAAACATAATTATGACAATAATTGATTCTATTAACAGAAAATGATTGATGCAATTATTTAATTGAATATTAGATATAAAAAAACGATATATTTAGACAACGATTATTGTCGAATATTATGTAAATTTTTATAAAAAGATCCAATTATGACAAATGATCAACATTATAGATTTAACGATTAACAAAAAATCAAACAGATTATTGTATGAATATAAAAGATTTTAAGAATTTTTCAAATAGTTAAAAAAATCTGAATTATCAGAATATAACAAATATGATCATTATATTTTATTCAAGAATGAAAATAAAGTTGCATGTAAGAAGATTTATTTAATATTAAAAAAGAATTATAAATTTTACAACAATACATCGACAAACAATTGATAAAAAAATATATTTGATTATCAATATCATTAACAGAACACAAGATTTTATTTGTGTTAAAAAAAGATAAGAATTTATAATTATGTGTAAATTATCAATCATTAAATAAACAGACAATCAAAGATTGACATATATTATTATTTATTTTAGAAATTTAAGACAAGATTAGAAAAATAAAATGATTTATTAAATTTGACATTATCGACACATATAACAGATTATGAATTGTAAAAAAAAATGAATAAAAAATGATTTTTAAAATAAAATATGAATATTTCGAATATATGATTATATTATGGATTAATCAATGTATTAATGTTATTTCAACAATTTATTAATGAAATTTTAAAAAAATTATTTGATACGTTCGTTATCACATATTTGGACGATATTCTGATATTTTTGAATATTGAAAAAAAATATGTTCAATATGTGAAATAAATGTTATGAAAGTTATGTATTGTTAAGTTATAATTGAAATTTAAGAAATGCAAATTCTATATTCATAAAATAGAATTTTTTGAACATTGGATATTCATTAAAGGAATACAAATAAAAAAAACAAAATTCAAACAATTAGAGATTGATTTATATTAAGAAGTCTGAAAGAAGTTTAATAATTTATAAGATTGATCAATTATTATTAATAATTTATTAACGATTATGTAAGCGTTATAACATTTATATTTAATTTAATGAAAAAAAACAGAAAAATTCAAATAGATGTTATAAGCACAAGAAATTTTAAAAAAAATCAAAAAAAGAATTATTATTGTATTGATTTTTGTGTAACATAATTTAAACAAATTAATCACAATTGAGATCGATATGTCAAATTATGTTATCGGAATGAGATTGACACAATTAAATAAAAATAACAA